TGGATTTTTTCGATTAATTTCTTGTTGTTTTCCACTCCATCGATCGATCATTCGTTTTGCTCGTTTCACATATTTATCTTCTTCTTCTTCTTTTACAATATTTTCTTTTTTTTTCTTGTTATTGTTTTGATGATTAAAAAATACAAATTTAAGATATAATGAAGAAATAATAATGATAAATATGATGAAAATTAGAGTTGTAGAATTCATCCGAATAAGAATATCATCATTCTGCTTAATTGTTGAACTGTTTTGAAACAAATAATAACATCCAAATGATAATAGTAGAATTCCAATTGTTGCTTTATATTTTTCCATCCACTTGAAAACTTTTCAAGCTAAAATTTTCAATCGATTCGACAATATTCTTGTTAGATCAATGAAATTATTTTACAAAAACAAGACGACAGAACAAAGCAAACGAATGATTATTTGTAAATGATAACTGTTGACATTCTTCATCTAGAGATAACAACAAAAGAAGATGAAAGATATACAAAATAAATATTACTCGTAAGAATATACCCCCAGCATGAGAAGGAAAGTACACAGAGGTTTCTGTTGAAACACTCTCGACTCCGTTTATCATTTTTTCATTTACTACTTAGTTGTTCTCATTGAAAGAAGAACAAAATGATGTGTGTGTGTGTGTGATAATGTTTTTATCAAAGAGCATCATCTATAAAGCAAAGATCTCCATGTGACCTGGTATCTTATAGAATGTTATGTCTATTAACAATTCAACAGAATCCGTTCTTTGTAACAGAAAGTCTCTCATTTATTTTGTGTTGAGTACGTTAAATACGAAACTAACTAGTCTATAATTAATGGCTGAAGTTTTCTCGAAAATTTACTTCTCATATATTGGTATTTTCTGACACATCGAGTGAATTTCTATATTTCCATTATGGATGGTTTCGAATGCTGTGACAGAAATGATGATATTTCGAAAATTTTTAAGTAATTCACTTTTTAGATGAGTGTTGGCTATCATTTCAGTCACAACCACATCCATACCTACAACTGTTGAAGCATCGACTTTCATAACGATAGAAAAAAAGCTCCGTTTATACACAAAGGAGTGAAGGAAATCTGTTGGTAGAGATTTGTTGAAACGATTGAATTTTCGAGTGAATTTTATAGATTATTGTTGATTTTGTCCTTTTTTGTAGCTGACTTCATATTGAACCAATATAATTAATGTTTGCTTCAAAGTCAAATTGAGAGAAAGAAAAAATAATAGTAATTTTCATCTTACATGCGATGTCGGATATTCTCTACTTGATTCTTATATAATATTCAGTGATTGTATTCATGAATTTTACAATGACTTGGTATTAAAATCAAATTTCAACATCTATTCGATACTATTCCATATGAAATTCTTCGACAATATGTTCTCAACAATTACGAACAACAAATAGCATCGAAAGAATAAGAAAAACAAAATGAAAAACAAAAAATTATATGTGTCTTATATCCAAATAATTGGGATGTACAAATGGCAGTCAAAATCAAAGATGCTCTTCTTAATATTTTAAAAAATCATTCGAGCAATAAGGAAGCATTCAATGATATTGAATTTAAATTGGTACCACGTCCACAAACATCTTTAACAATTAACGATTATTTAGTTAATAAACGACCATCACTTCGTCTTCTATCCTTACCAGACAACCAAAGTGGTTAATAATGTATGTACAATTACAAAATACTTCTTATCGTTCAACATTCTCTTCTATTTTTATAGGTCATCATTGAAGAATATTCATGTTAGGCAATGTATTTAAAATTCAAAAAAACAAAAATAAAACACTTTCATTTTTTGTTTCATTTTTTTTGTTCTCTTCTTTGAATTATACTTAATAAAACTTGTAATAGTTGTTCAGCTTTAGTATTACATATCTTCTTTGTTAAATGCATTATTTAATCGAGCAATTTCGTTTTGATTCTAGATAAAATATTGATTTTAAAATATGAACGTAGACGATAATAATAATAATAATGAACCAATAAAAACGCCAAGTCAAGATGCTCAAGGTTGTTGGTATGAATTACTTTCACCAACACAAGTTTTGACTTGAGAACAAAACTTGAACAACGATAAGAAACAACAAAAGACGAAGAAGAAGTGTTGTGGTAATCGAAAAGCATAATGTTTAAGACGAAGAGAACGTCGTCAACAACAAAAAATGAATCATAATACAAATCATATGGATCAAAGTGTCATTTTTATCGAGGATGATAATGACGATTCAGAAGATGAAGAACAACAATAAATTCAAGTATGCTTCTAATTCATTTCAGGAGAAGTAATAGTTTTCTATTTATACTTCTTGATCATATTTAAAATTATTTATTAAATAATCAAAATCAAACAAGATCCGAAAATAAACGTAAACGTCAAGATTTGAATAAAGATGACATCCATGTGAATCGATCATTCAGTCAATTATCAATATCACAAGAAAATTTAAAGATGAAAAAGACAACAGCAACAACAAATAATCAATAAAATAATCAAATATTGTAAGTAGTGAATGATAATAACCTAGAAGAAAACAATGAATTATGACCTATGAATTATATACAAAAATTAAAACCACAATATTTAAAAATTTCTGCCCAGGCGAGCAAAAAATAAGGGGTGACGCCCGGCATGACTAGTCTAAATTGTCCGTAGTACCCGTCTGGACTAGTCTAAAATGTCTGCACTGCCCTTTGGACTAGTCTGAAATGATTTGCAGTTAGTCAGGACTAGTCGTCTTCACGAGGAACGTCTTGCATCTAAAATAGACTAGTCCAAAACATGCTCTAATCTTGTCATGGCTAGTCCGTTTTGTATGTGCATACTGTCCAGACGCGTCAACTTGAAGGCGAAAACTAGAAGAAACGGAGGCGATAGGTGGATTCGAACGTTCAAGCCAACAATATTGGATACCTGACTAGTCTGAACTGTTTTCAGTAGGTAACGCGGACTAGTATGAAGAGTCATCTATATTGGTCATGACTAGTCGTTTTCGAGAAAGTAATGCTAATTCTGGTCCAGGCTAGTCTATCCTTCCAAACAGTCTTTATTGCTTGGACTTAATCATTCGGACAATTCATTTAGACTAGTTTGTATTGGGACTAGAACGATGTATCTAACGAGAGTTGGCTATTTATGTCCTTTTAAATTTTTAAATTGTAATAACAATCAAGAATAATTTTATTCGAAAAATTAATTTTAATGCATTGATATGAGGATATTATTTTATTTCAATAGAAAACCTAATGATTTGAATTTCAAAATGGATTTAAACGGTAGAATCATGGTTCATTTTCAAATTTAAATAGGAAATATTTTAAATTAAGATAAACATAAACCATTAGATGAAAAGCAAGATCTTTTTTTGAAATGTATATTATTATTTTGATTTTGATTTGAATTTAATTTTTTTTTCCAATAGGAAATAACTTTTTCCAAATGTCGATAATCAAAAAAAAATTCTGTTGAAGGAAATTAAAAAAATTCTGAATTAATTTTGCTTAGCTATATTTAACTAATTTTCGATTTTATTACAAGTAGTTTCTATAAATATTAAAACTTGAGAAAACGTTGAGTCAAACTGTAGTAATTAGTGTCTTCAGATGTGTATTGACATGTAAAAGATGATCACTAGATCATATGGCTCAATCGGGTAGACGACGAGTAAGTAACACAAGGTATGCATGTACGAATCTAACTTTCTGCACATATTTCGATCATCTAGACTAGTCCGAACTAGACCGCTACATAAGACTGAAACCTAATAGATGTCGCGTCACAGGCGCTCTGCTTTTTTTAATTTAAAATCTATTTTCGGACGGGATGCCCAGACGGGGTTAAAGATTCCAAACCATTTTGGACTAGTCATGTAGTAGGACTTTTTGAGAAAAAGACTAGACATGACGCATAGTCACGACTAGAAAAATGACTAGTCTTTTTACCCGTCCTTTGCATATCTGATCATGATCAGATATTTAAACAAATGTTATCAAATGCAATTGAAAATGGTGATAAACTTGTTAAATGTTTAGATACAAATGAAAAACTTCAATTTGTTCGTCAAATGACTGAAGTAACCAATAATTTACAATATATACATTTACAACATCATTTATGGCAGTGGTGGGCACAGTTCGGGTTTTTCAGAATTTAAACTGAACCGAAACCGAAATCTTTAAAACTGAACCGAACCGAACCGTAAATAATCAAAACTTGAAAAATGCTGAACCGAACCGAACTGAACCGAAAATGAAATTCTTAAAAAATTGTATAAAGATAACAAAGACTGTGATCTTCATTTTAACTCGCGTATCTAAGCTTGGATGATTGTAATTATAATAAATATGTATAAATATTTACCTTTGTACTAATTATTGTTTATCTTTATTTTGTTCGTGTTCAAAATAGTTAATTTTATATAAATATGTACTATACAAAAAAAAGCAAAAGACACTAGAGGACATGCACACATTAAAAAACAGTAAGAATATTAAAAAAATCATTCAAATGTTTATAAATACCATTTCTTGAAGTCGCTTATTTGTTTTGTGCATTTTTTCTTTTATATTTTTCAAACGAGTTTTGAAAAATAATATCATTCACTGTTTCGGGAGATAATTTTGAACGTTTTTTAGTTACAATATTTCCAGCCAAAGAAAACTTCCCTTCAACAGCAGTACTAGTTGCTGGTACTGTAAATACTCGTTTGGCAATTTTTGCTAAACGTGGATATAATGAATGATTTTGCTTCCAAAAATGTAATGGATTATATTCTTGATCAGATAATGGAGAAGCATTGGCAGAGCAGGATTCTTTGATTTATATATTCCAAATTTCAAGTAATTATCGATCTCTGCTTGATATATTGCAGTAGTTGTTGCTGGTAAATCATCATATTCATCCTCTTCTTCATAGTATTGTTGCATTATTCGATCAGTTATATTTTGTTTATCATATGTTTTACGTTTTGATTTGTCACTGTTATCAATTGATTGTGTATCACTATCAAATGCATCAAACATAATCATTTCTTGTTTAATATATTCTAAACATGATTGTCGTTGACTATTGGTACATTGTTTCATTTTTCTAGTTCTTGGATTTAAGAATAAAGCCATGAGATGAATGGGATGATAATCAAACATTGCATCAATCAATATTTTCCCACGTTGACGAAAAAACATCATATCTATTATAACACATATAAACGAAAATAGTCTAACTATAATCATTTATTTCAATAATGCTTACCTTTTTCATGTGCGAATTTTGCATCATTAGAAATTGATTCCAACCTTGTTTTTAAACTTTCAATACCAGGTATAACAACGTGAATTGATGGTATATTCGTCGATTGTAATCGTGTTGATACATGTTTCCATGGTTTCAAGAATTCGATGATTCTTTCCAATAAAACAACATTTATTTTTTCTAAACGTTTTTTATTTAATTCTTTTTCTTCAAATATTTCATTTAATGGTAAAAATGATCTTAGCACAGCTTCAAGACAATCAAACATTGATAACCATCGAATGATTGTACTTTGTATTAATCGAGGAGATTTTTTATCTTCAAGAGCTTGATTAATGTTTACCTAAAATAATTGAGACAAAGGTTTTACCATTAAATATAGTTTTCTGAGAAGTTTTATGAAACACATACTAATTTAACATATTTTACTAACTGTTTTACAGAAAGAATTAAAGTAATAATACGTGTTGCTTCAGGTGGAATCTCTGACTCCAACATAACTAAATGATTATGTTTAACTGTCACAATGATTGACGTAGAATTATTTATTTTTTGTTGGTGATGTTGTCGTCGTTGATTTGTTGGTGAATGTTGTTGTAAATCCATAGCATTATCATCATAATCTTCACTTGATTCTTCCGAATCAGTCATTTTTTCTTCATCATCTTCTTGAAATTCATCATGTAGTTGTAAGTTTTTCTTTTTTCACTTAGAAAAAATAGTCTTTCAAGAATGTTGTTGACTCTATGTGCTGAACAGAATACAACTTCATATTCTTCTAATATTTTTTTAATATTTGACCCACGATCAGTAACCCAAATAATATCTCGCATATATATTGTTAGATCATAAATAGATGAACCTTTTTTCAAGACCTAAAATTATAGAGAATAATGAGACTCAAATTTTTAGAATACTTTAAAAGTTCGGCTGCACTTACCTTCAGCAGATTAGGTGCTTTTTTACTTGGAGTATCAAATGATATACAAAATATTTCGAAGAAATATAAATTCCATGTATCGTCAACCCAGTGAGCTGTACATCCTAAATATGATTGTTGACGATATTTATCTGACCAAATATCAGGTGATAAAGCTAATGATCGTTCACGTACAGCTTTTAATAAAATTTCTTTAATTTTTTTACGTCCAGTTGCAGCAGCGGATTTTATTTGTCTAGCTACTGTTCTTCGAGATGATAAAATAGCATCAGATTTAATTGGACCACAAGTATAGCCTAAAAAAAATTAAATGAACTATATTCAATTTATTAACGGTTTTCGATGCGAGAAGTACCTATACGAATTGCTTCTTCAACTATTTCTTAAAATCCTGTATCTTCGGCAACACCTAATGGACGTATATTTGTACATATCCATTCAGATAATAAATTGGTCATTTTTTGTTTGCATTGTTCAATGTTTTTATTATTCGAAGAAGATGATGAAGTTGATGAAATCGACGAATCAATCAATTGTAAAGAATTAAATGCTGGTGAAGTTGCGAAATGAGTTTGTTTAGGATCATATGCATCACATATTTGCATATGTTTATTCATATTTCTGGTACTAGATGTATAACTATATGTAACAAAACAATACTTGCATAATACAAATTTGTCAAAAACTTCTTGTTTTCCTTTATCAGTTTGTCGAGCAGAAATACCAAAACATTTCCAACAATTAGATTTTTTATCTGTTACATCAACAACAAACCAATTACTTTTATTAAATTTTAAATTCGTAATAATATTTTCTGCAGATAAATGTGAAATAATATGCGGCACATTTGATAAATCAGATGAAATAGAAGAAGTGGTTTGTTCAATATTGTTGGAATCTGTTGAAGAATCAAGATCAATAACATCATTTACATTCGATAAGGAAGAAGTATTCATTTTATATTTAACTTGATATACTTGTGACCACTAAAAGTACGTGAATATTTTCGTACATAAAAAAATAATTGCCTATTTAAGTCCCGTTATTCATAGACGAATAAAGAAAGACTATAGAGAATATATGAATGCATTCATTGTTACTAACGACATCTTTTAATGACTCATCTCATTTGCTTTACATGCGCATGTGTTCGTCTAAAAAAGTCTTGTAAGCGTCTACGGATGTAAAGAATAAAAACGCATATTTATGAAAATTTTATCCAAAGTGTATCAATTTAGATTAGAACCGAACCGTGCCCATCACTGATTTATGGCAAGATTATTACAATATTGGTATGAAAGAAGATATATGGGCACCACAAGTATCGAAATCTTATGCTAAACAACATAATACATTTCATACTTATGGCTATCCTAAACATACAATTGAAAAACGTCAAAGAACAATTTATTATCAATTACAACGTACAATAAATCAACTACAACAATATTCAATAAAACTAGAACAAAATGCATAACAAGAGCAATCATCATTTGATCCAAATATTTTATCAAATGCCATTAATGAATGTGTAATAAAGGGCCAACAATGATTAAGACAAGAATTTGATTACCGTAGGAAAATGTTAGCATTAGATTCAAACGATCGTCATTTAATTACGAAATTTTATGATTTGCAGCCGAATAAAAAACAAGTTTGTTGAAAAACAATATTAGAATTATTAACTTATCTATTCTTTTCAATTTTAGATACATTTAGCGAAAATAATATGGCAAAAAACAGCAGATGAATTTCAAACAAAAGAATATGACGAAGTACTCCGTCGACGACTTTTTTTACAATGATTACCAAGTGGAATTGATAAAATTATTAATCAATCTATTGATCCTATTCAACTTCTACTTTCATATCCTATTATTAATAAAGATCAACGTGCTAGTTTAATATCAACTTGCTCAAAAACCATTACACAATATAAATTTGATTTAATGTCTTTAAATCTTGATATTATTGAAAATATTAAACGTGGCCATTAACAACAGCTTTTGGTTTTACAAGATAAATTAATACAATCGAATTGTAATGAAACATTGAAACAAGCCATTATTAATCGTCAAGAAGCAATGCGAGCACGTCATGAAGTCTATTTAAAACATAAATTGAATACTTTTTTCGACGAAGCTCCGACGACAGTATCAAACGAATGAAGAAGCAGATTCGTCGTCGTTGTCGGAGCAATATCTTTATTTATAAAACAATTACTGCTTCATCATCATTTATTGAAGTCGATTTAAAATTAACACCAGCACAAATGTCTATGTTTATTAATGGTTTCAAATATATTATACCATGTCAAAGTCAATTCTCTCGTCAATCAATCAAATTATTACTGAACAATATCAAAAACTATCTTCAATTGTCAAAGATTCTCTCAAAGGTCATCGAATACTAATTGCAGATGAACGAGCAAAACAAGCTTTTACAGCATTACAACGTATTTTCTATGAATTTCAATCTCAAAAATTATCAAAAAGATTAGAAAAACGTGCTCAACGTGAATACAAAATCGTTCGAAGTATTCAACGTCTTATACGTCGACGATCAGATATTGTTGTACATCGAAGAGATAAAGGAAAAGTTTTTTATATCGGTAGAACGGTTGATTTTCAACGTAAAGCTGAAGAATATATGTTAAAAACGGAAGCTTATAAAGAAATTACAAATGGTCGTTGTCCATTAGCCGATAATCTCCATAGTGTCAATACTTTACTTGATTATCTTGTAAAGAAACATGCTCTCACTGAAAAAACAACGTAAATACTTGATTCCAAAAAGAGAAACTTTAGAATTAGCTCATTATCATGGCATACCAAAACCACATAAAGTAAGTTTATTTCAATCAGTATATTATAATCTATATTCTTTTTCATTTTCTTAAGTCTGGAACATCATTACGACGTATAGTTGTAAGTATTCATGCACCAGCAACATTGGCATCGAAATTTTTGAATGATCTTCTAGTACCTATTTACTTAAAGGTTGCTCGTAAATATACATTAATTAATGATATTGATGTCATTCGAAGATTAGAATAACATGTTGCAGATGGCTATATTACATCAACAACAAAATTTATTACGACCGATGTTGAAAATCTTTATACAATGATACCACGAGTAGGTGCATTGGAAGCATTAGATCGATTCTGTATCAAATATTTGAAAGAAGGCAAAATTGGAACATTTACAATTGATCATATTATGAAAATGGCTCGTTTAATTTGGGACACGAATTGTTTCGCTTATAATAATAAATATTACCGACAAATTTATGAAGGTACAATGGATTCAGCATTTATATGCCGTTTGAGAGAGAACACAATTAAATCGCACATCGCGGTTTTCAGAAGATCGTCTGACATATTACAAAACTTTTTTCAAACACGGAACTTATTATAGTATGGACTGAAAGCATTTCTTTTCCTGGAACTATCTTGGTGTGGTGCGAAACTCATCAGAGTACAGAACGAAACTACTTTCGATTCTATAAATCCATATAGTTCGATACGAAAGTGTTTCCGATTTTGGAACTTATAGAAGTTCGATGCAAAACTTTGTTTACCATTGAACTGTTTTGGACATTTACTATAGCTGTACGATAACTTTTAGAATAACATAAAGTACTACGAAATCATTTAGGTACCATTTATTACCAATTTTGTTCTAGTATAGTCATACACAATCTGTCATATCCGTCTACAGACATTCGAATGAGGTTTTTCATCGTACACAATACACAGTCTAAGAATATTTCTCTAGTACTTTTGTATGCTTCAAACATGAAATTCAGGATTGGGTATTCATTATCAATATAGCAATATTGACATTCGCTGATTCTTTTGTTGAGTCATGTAATCTAGTAGATTTTATTTGAAGAAAGGCATAAATACACACGATAAAAAGTGAGGAAAAGAGAATGCGGAAAGAAATGCTAGTTAGACAAGATATGGCAATACTAAATAGATGAAGGAGCTAAAATATAATATGTTATTAGATTAAATTGAAAATAATGTTTATTATAGGTATTTTGACATTGGATCGGCCTTAGCATCTCGACATGGTTCAACACATTGATCTTTTTTCGCAGCCTCAAAACAATCTTGTTTCGTTGTGCATTTGTTGATGGGATTTGGCAATTGTGTGTAACACCAACCATTCATGTTCTCTGGACCAGCACGATCCATACGTAGATAACATGATCTGGCACACCGACCTTTGAGGCAATCGTAAGTTAAAGATGCCCCTGAAAATAGAAAAGAAACGAGAATTTCGCTGGTTTGTATGACGTTAATCAATGAACGAACTAGCAGCTAAACTATGTTAGTACTTGAATCTTGAAATACAGCGGAAAGCGTATAGCATCTCACCATTCGAATTGGCCCCCAGACACTTGCCGTTCCAGCTGCAATCACTATGACTCTTACAAAAATAGTCATTAGAAGTACCGCAAAAATCTGGACCGTATAGATTAGCGTCTCCGTTTCCACCAGCTCCTCTCCAACAATTTCCAAAATGTCCACAACCCCAATAATCCGAAACCTCCGAAAAAAGAGAGAAATAAATCTCAACGAAAATTCTTACACAAAACGGCCAATTAGCTTCGTTTTTGATCGATTACTTTAAAGTTACTATTTTTGAGAATTGAAATTCTGTCGCTTACTTTGTGTAGAATCGCAAACTCCACTGATTATATCTTTGCTTTCCCTAGGTTCGCCTCTTGATGACATCAGATAGCAAATTTTTTCTCCACATTTCGTAACATATGACCATGTAACGCAAGTTGATGCAGCATTGCACGCATTCAAGCACTCCTGCCAAGCTTGTACTACGAGATTGTTATTCGATGTCACACACGTGGCTTTGTCAGTTGGTTTATAATGTGCATCGGCTATTGACGTTTGGCATCTTTGTTGGCCAGTTTGGCTTGCAATATAAAGTCTCTATAAGTAGTATTAGAAAGATTAGAAAAATGGAAACTGCATAATGCAACCAGCTAATATCACACATTTTTCATTCAACGCATGGTACGATTCGGCTCTCTTTTGAAGTCCAGCCCATTTACCGAAAAAATGACTTATTTTCAAATGCACTTATGTAAAGATACATAAAGAATAGTTTGTTCTACTTACGTC